AAGCTGTGCAATGCCTGGCTTCTGTCCTCTTACAGGTGTGACCCTTTGAGGCTGCTACCGCAGCCACCTGGGGACACTGGCTCCCTTCTCTGCCCTTGGCCCTTGTCCTGGGAGACATGAACCTGCTGCTGCTGTCAGCCCCACTAATGTCCTACCATCGGCACCTCTTCCCTGTCCCTCCAAGATTATGGTAGGAGCAGATGGCATGTCCCAGCTCTGTGCTTCAATCCAGCTACTGCTATCTCCCTTTGGGCTCCCACAAGTATTGGCTCTGACATGGAGAGTGCTGAGCATGATCCAGGCTCCACAGGGTGCTGGAGTGCAGCCCCACAGGTCTCCAGACAGATGGGTGACCTGCTCCGTGGCTGCTGCTGGCACTGCCTGTGTCAGCCCATGCTCCTTGCACCCCCAGGGCTGGGGTGTCTGAGTGCCTTGCCTGGTCTGGAATGAGCCCTGCGGGGCTGGGGCCTGCTGTGACATTTGTCCCTGAAGGTGCCACCCTTGTGTGCGGCAGGATGGGGGTGACACAGTCCAGTCAAGTGGCAGGACTGAGCACACCAGGGCTGCTGCCATGCCTGTGCGAGGCCATGGCTAGGTGTGACAAAATACACGTGGGAGAGAGCTGTGACGCGGGTGTCCCCATCTCAGCGGTGATGTGGCTCTTTCAGAGGCACCTCTGAACAAGTCTCCTTGTCTCAGGTGACCTCAACGGCCCTGTGTGCCCTGGTCCCAGGCTCTGTGCTTTCCCCTTCCTCAGCCCTCCCAGGGTGAGGACAGGGAAGGAAGGAGGGTTTGAGCAGCCCCAGCATCTCCCTTCTGGAATCTGAGACCACACACAGGGAGGGCTGGGCAGTTGCCCCTGTGGTGTCCCATAGGGTGCTGGCAGGAACCCACTCTTGTTGTTTAGGAGCTGGGAGGCCTGGCAGACCAGTCACCCACCTGGAAGTAGCCTTCCTGTTCCTCCAGGCGATGGGACTGTCTCCAACACGTCCTATGGCTCCAGGAGCCCGGCGGCATCACCAGGATTTGCTGCAGGGGTTGTGCTCCTCCTGCTGGGACTTGGCAGGTGTCAGAGCTGGTCATAGCCTTGGCCCCTGGCTTCCTAAACTGCTTCCTTCCTGGACACTGCGGTGAGAAGGTCACTTGGCTGGACACCTGCCTTTGTCAGGGCCACACCCAGCCCAACTGCTGCTGTGACCCTTGGCGGGAAGTCACCCTGCTGGCAGGGAGTCCCCAAGAGAGCAGGCAGAGTCCCAGACAGCTTGTCCCAGGCAGGACAAGCTCCGACGCCTGTGCCTTCCAACATGAAATGAACCCAAACAGCGAGGCCCGCTCCCACCCCTCAGGTCACCTGCAAGGAGGAGCAGAGCCCTCTCCTGTCCCCAGCACCAGGCCAGTGGCATTGACCAGCTGCAGCTCCCAGTAGCTGGATTCCTGTGCTGGAGGAGACAGCAGTGGAACAAGGCTGGGGACAGGCCAAGCAGGGGAATCCCTCTGCCTCCCATAAAAAAGGCCCAGGGCAGCAGAAGAAAGAGGCCAGCCAAGCTTGTTTGATAGCTTTATTGCTTCTGTGATATGACTGAATTGACGTGACATAAGCCGGCTTGGAGGAGCCTGCAAGACTCTTGCCCTCCCTGCCTAGAGGGGAAATTAAAAAAAAAATGCAGAAACTAAAACTAATTTTAAAAACTCATTGAGTTCTTGCATCTCAGCTTGGTACAGTACCGGCAAATGCACTGGCCTTTGCGAGTCCCCGTGCAGGCTGTGAGAGGAGCCAGAGCCCAGAGGAGCTGGGTAGTGGCCCCCAAAGGGTGTCCTGCACTGAAGGACACATCTCTAATACTGCGAGTGACGCACACTCGGACCGACGGCACTGGTGGTGCCAGTGGAGCTCGGCGTGGTGGCCACCTCCCTGCCAGGCACTCTGGAAGCCCTTGCCCATGTCCAGTGCTGCCCATACCCAGCCTGATTGCCCCCGTTTGACACAGATGGCCCTGTCCTGACACTCTCCCCCCCTCCCAGCAGTGCCCACACTGAGGGGTGGCACAGCATGGCCAGGCAGGGCCTCCCCACTGCTCCCTCCGAGGAAAGGAGATCCTGGAAGCCCAGAGACACTGGGCTGAGAAATGTTGGATTGGATCCCACTGTTGCCTTGTGCTCCCTGGCCATGGTGCTTCCCTTTGGCACGTGTGAGCTTGAGGACATGGCACAGCCAGCCCTAACGGGGCGAACTGGTGGCAGGAGCCTGACGCCAGGGTGGTGGGCACTGCGTAGGGCTGTACCCCACAAATGCACCAGCAGCCTGTGCTCATGGTGTGGTCAGTGCAGCACTAGCAGCTCTCTGGCAGCCCCCTCCCCTGGAGCAGCATGTGCTGGCTGCCCTGCAGCTCCCCAGATCTGCCCTCCACACTGGTCAGAGTGAAACCCGCTGTGGGCGCTGGCTCCCGACCTCCTGCGTGTCCCTGGGCAGGCTCCCCGCCACCCGAGCGGCCTTTCTGCACTGCAGCGCATCGGAGGCACCAGGCAACCCCGCTCTATATTTAGGCTGTGGAGAATTCCCCTGGGCTCTCCCTTCCGATCTGACAAGGTGAGTCACTGCAAGGGAGAGGCCAAGACTCACATCCGTCCCACTGACCGTGCTCTGACCCGCGTGCACCGCTCCGAGCTGGCAGGACTGCAGCGTCTCAGAGAACGGGAGGTGGCTGCAGGTGCACACAGGGAGGCAGCCAAAGGAACAGCATCCAGCAGTGAAACCCAGTGCTGCACGCTGCTCCGTGGTGTCAGCGAGCTAGAGGGGAGCCTTGGCCCCCAAACACCCTTTCCTTCTACTTGCAGGTGGTCCTGAGCCACCACAGTCACCCTGGGCCATGCATTCATCTAGTCAGCCTAGGCATTTCTGCCAGGAGACTCCCACCAAGGTGGAAGGAAGGGCTTGGAGTCATCTCCCTGGTCTGTAGGGTCAAATTCCCATCAGGACCTGTCCCTGGTCGTGGTGGAAAGCTGGGATGACAGGAAGGCTGAGCAGTAGGTGTCAGCGCTTCCCAAACCACAACCTCAGCCAGGTCCAGCCCAAGCATCCCCACTGCCAGCATGACTGGGACTCCACAGATGACAGTCCTGGGTCTAGGATGACACACAGAAACTGCAAAGGGAGTGTCACCAGGTGAGAGCCAGGGAAATCCCGCCCCCTGGGCTCCTTGAGAAGGAAAAAGAAATTGGGGGAGACTTCAAAGGAGTATCTGCCATAGCATATGCTCAAAAACCTGCTGGAAACCTCACAGAGTATCCTGGTGGGAGGAATGTCCCTGGGGGAGCAGGGACTGTCTGTTTGGGAGGCCAGAGGGATGGAAAGGGATATGGGAACAGGAGAATGCCAGAAGAGACACAATCCTTGATGTGCTCCCAGATGATAAGGCAAGCAGCAGCCACAACCAGAAGCTGGACAGGACTTGCCCCTGAGTAAACTCCTTGGCAACAGGCACACCATGCAGGAGAGGTTCCTGAGGGACGCATCCCACACTGGTCTATAAGCAGCACTCAGCCCCATGTCCTGAGAGCTGCCTCTGCCTGCAGCCTGGTCTCAAACCATTCTGTACAGTTTGCTCCTCTGCCCCACACCTGGGTCACTGCCTGCCCTTCCTGCACACCCCCTTGAGGGTCTCAGCTCCAAAATCACAGCCCCCCACAAGTCAGCGGGGGAAGAGGCAGCCCAGGGGAGCCATGCAAGCCCTGCTCTCAGCATCCCTTGTCCACGCTCTCCCTTCAGCTCAGAGTAAGACAGACTGCAATCCTTGGGCTACATCAGACGCACTGCCAGGACCATGAGCCCAACCTGCATCCCTTCGGGATCCCCCTCCACTGACCTCAGCACTGGCTGGCTGCATGCTGGTGCCTGGACACCCAGGTACTTGGACGGTCCCTGTGGGTGCAGCCCAGCCTGCTCCAGGCCAGGAGAGCACGGGAGCCGATTTCCACCATTCCCTTGGCGATCCCCCTTCTGCCCGTGCCCTCCCAGCGGAGGAGACCACCCTGCTGTCCTCACACTTGGCCACGTTGCTCAGTTTATTCCAGCTCCTCTGAAATACTTATACAAATCAAATGTGCAAATACTGCATCTTGGGACCAAGGAAGGATGTGCTCCTGAGAGCAGGAGGAGCAGCAGTGCTAGAGCAGCACGGGAGGAGTTTGGAAATGGCGTGAGCAGGGGCCGAGCGGAGGGTGAGGGCTCCCATGAGGATCCATCATTACTGAGGTCACATGTTGCTTAAACAGGGAACGTGATCGAGTCTGGAACATAAAGCAAACATCTTCAGCGGTCTGCTCTCAAAATGTAAAGCTTGAGATCTCCGCTCAAGATATGACCTCCTTCCAAAGAACAAATTACTCCCCTCCCACACAAAAACAAAGCAAGATGCTGTCCAGAAACAGGGACACCAACGTGCACGGACTCCAGGGCGGCCCTGCACAGCAGGCACAAACCAAGAGGCCTGACAGCCTTGAGCACAACGAGGCAGGCTCCTCCACACCGTGACAGGCAGGAAGGTGGGGAGGGTCTGCGGGAGGTGGAGAAAGCCATCAGCTCCCCCCTCCACCTCGGGGTCAGGGCAGAGGCAGAGCAAATGGCCATGAAAAACACAGCCAAGTCGATGGCTGCTGCTGCTGTTGCCGCCTCTGTGGAGGAAGCAAGGAAAAACACAGAAAAACAAACCCATGCTCATCTCCATTCAGAAGCTCCAAGTGGAGAATGAGAGGAAGCCATTATTCTCCCTTTGAATTATAGCAGCACCAACAACACCAAAGTTTTGGATGGATTTGTTTTCCTGGGGAAAGGTCTGAGGCTGGTGACAACGCAGATGGAGCATGAAGAGGCCGGGCCTTTTGCAGGGCTGTGAACAAGCAGGCTTTGCCTTGTACCTTGGTATTTCTAGTATGCTTCCAGCAGTCTTTTAAAAAATAATACTTTGTACATTCAGGCATTGCTGCCTTGGGGCAGCATCACCTCCCATTTGGCACAAATCATTTTATTCACAAATCTTTCTTCTCTCTCCTGAGTCTTTCCTGTCTAATTCAGGATGCAGAAGATCTGTCTGCAATGCAGAGTTCAAGAACTGTCTACTCAGTCCCTTGCCCACCTCCTGCCAGCTCTAGGCCTGGAGGTGGCAGGTGCAATCCTCGTGCAGACTGGCAATGCAAGAGGGTCTTCCCAGAGCACCTGGGCATCTCTGTGTGTCTTCAGTGAGGTGGGATTCTTGCAGGGGGCTGCCAGTGCCTGCTCCCAGAGCTGCAGCGTGTCTTCATCTCCTCCCTTGGAGGCAGTGGCTGCAGCCACTCAAATCCCACTGGTTAGGTCAGTGATGACTCGGGCTTTCACCAGCTTCCTCAGAAACTCCTTCTCCCGCTGGATGTTGTGCGTCCAAGACTGGAAGAAAATGGGAGAGACAGAAGGTCAGCAACTACCCTGGCCAACATGCTCCTGTCCCTCAGGTTATGGGAGACTCATCTGGGCCAAGGCAGTGGCTTCTGCCAAGGAAAAAGACCCTGCTGCAGACCAGAAGAGCTCCTGCAGACCAAGGGACTTCCCTTATCTAAAGCTGATACACTTGCAGGGTCAGACCTGTGTAGCTAAGGTAGAAGGTCTCCCCATGGGCTAGGTGAAGTTTTTTTTGGCATGGTGAGATCTAGGCAATCCAGGTCCCTTGGGGAGATGCAGCTGGTTACAGTGCCCTCCCAAGCTATCTTACACATGAGTCCAATAGTGCAGTACTGATGGTGATGTATGCTGGGCAACAGAGCTGGCAGAGAACATGGTGGCAGGACATGTTGTGCCCGTCACATACAGCTCCCTGCCAAGGGAGGTCTCTGGGAATGCATGGTGGTGCATGCAGCTGAAAAGCCCTAGGACCAGCCCCATTAAATCTGGCTTTTGCCTCTGCTGGCCCTGTCATGAAGAAATCACATGCTAAAGGTTACACTAATACAATACCAAGGGTGAAATGGCCACATCTCCCAGCAGGGACTTCAAAGCAGTGACTGCTATGGGTGGTGTCAGCCCACACAGATGTGTTCCCTGCAGCAGGTTTTAGCAGGGACCACAGCATCTGCCATCACTCCCCAGCACCGGTACTATTGAAGCACTTAATGACAGCAGTAAGTGGTTTGTCTCCTCGTGGAGACAAAGGAAGAACAGGGAAAAGCAACTTTCCCCTAAATCTCCCAACAGGACAAGAATCCCACTAAATGATTCCAGGGCTCCAGCACAGTGCTCTGGTCAGCAGCTAACCTGAGCTCTAAATACGATCTGGACTGTGACAAAATCACTCTTCAGGAGCCTCTCTGAAATGGCCTCAAACCAACAAAGCACCAGTCCCATGAGCCCACTGAGGGCACTCTGCCACAGGTATTGAAATCCAGTTTACCCACTGCAGAATTGTGGGCACCTGCCTGCAAAGCACTGGTTGTACACATCATGCACAACGTGCATGTGGCTCTCCTGTCATCTGCTGCTTGTCCTGCCCTGTCCTGTCTGGGACAGGCAGATCTCAGCCATGGCTCCTGCATGGCACTGACAGCCTCAGTCATGGTGTGTATGCAGGGGTTGCCAAGAGGTCCAATGGACTGAAGGTCCCTATCTAGATCTTCAGCACATTTTGGAAATACCTCTCTTGCTGCTACTGTGCGTCTAAAAACCACTTCCATCCCCTCAGTGCACAGCAATGATGACAGTCACAGCTGCTAAAGAAAGCTCAGGCAGGTGTTACCTTGTAACCTGTGTTCAAAAGTCTTTGACTTCCTCTGCTTCCAGTGACACTGTTACCTGAACCCTCCAAAGGGTACAGTAGTACAGGACCACACCAGTAAACTGTGTTGGTGCTTTTTGGGACTCTGTAAATGTGGAAGATCCCATCCCTAAACTGAGAAGATGCTGCCTAGAAACAACTCAGCGCTTCTGCTAACATAAAAGCAGAGTGAAATCTGGCACTGAGAAGTAAAGTGGCTTGTAAAAGGAAAAAAGCATCATTTCCAGAAAGCAGCACTGGGAATGATGGTGGTACAGAGCAGAGAGAGCTGGGAGAGCAGGGCTGAGCGTGGCTGTCACTTGGAGCCAGAGACCCAGGAACCTCCAGTGTGCTGGAAACAGTCCCATATGTGGAATGTCAGCTGGGGGTTCAGGGTTTGGCCCCTGCCACGCACCAGTGTCTCTTCTGCCAACACAGCCCCTTGCTAGGAAGGCTCAGCACCAGCAGAGGCAGCCGAGGGTGCGGGTGTGCTCCTGCCAACAGGCAGCCAGCAGCTGTCATGCTGGGACACCAGGTCTCAATGCATTCACTTACATCTGGCTGGGCCTGTCGTTCAAACCTGCCTGGAGCACCAGGAGCCTGATGCGCCTGATACGTCATAGCACAATCTGAGCCCTCCTTCACGCCTTTCAGCCTCATCAGACAGTATGAGAAGTATGAGAAGCCACCCGGTTTTGGCCAGGACAAGCTGCTTGTGTTCCTTGTGCAGACGGGAACTGGGGAAGCAGCCACTTCTAGGCAAACTCAAACCACCACCTAAAACGTCACCTCAAGCCACGTGCAAGTGCCTTATCTGATGGCAAGAGGAAATCTGCTTTGTGAAAAGTACAAGTGGAGTAGGAATTTAAGTACAGGAGGTGGATAATAAAACTTTGGGTGATACAATTGCAGTCTCTCTACGGCTAGGTCTGGCTCCAGCACTGACTGCAAAACTGCTGGCAAGACCTACCAGCCTCTAGTTGTTCAGCATCCAGCCTGCTCTATACCCTGGCCACTGCCACTAACTCCTTGTTCCAAGAAGTCACATGAAAGGGAATTCAGCCTCCCACCTGAACCATGGATCTTACTGATGTCTGCATCAGTACTCTCAAATGTTCTGTGGTTCATGTAAGCCCACAGAGAAAGAGGTTCCCTGGTGAGGACAAGCTTTCATCCCTCCCGAAGAGCAGCATCAGGGCACTCAGTGCAGTGCTGCTCCCCCCTTGTCCAACAGCAACGCAGGCAGGAGGGATGAGGCATGTCTTCAACACCAGCTCCGGTTACTGATTACAGGAGAGGGACTCGCTCACCCCACTGACAGACAGAGCTAATCAGGCAAAGGAAGCTGCATTCCAGCACCAGCAGCGGCAGTGGGGAGAAGAGCCAGAGCAGTTTTCTCAAAACTGGCAGACAGACAAGCACCTTGGTCCCATTGCCCCAGCAGGAAAAGGCAACAAAATACCCCCTAAAATCTAGCAGCTTTCAGGGTGTATACACTCTAAATATCACCCTGAGTAGCACACACCACTAGTAGAAAACTCCAGCTCTTCCCTTGCCAATCTGAACCTCCAAGACAGTGATGGAGCAGCCTTTCACTGCCACCTTCTTCTTGTCCCTGCACATCACCACTACTGCTGCTCCTGCAACCTGGCAGACTGGCCCTGCCCTCTCCTTCCTCTGCTGCTCGCATCCGGTGCAGTTTCCACTTGTGCAAACAAACAGGCTGCTTGCCTGAGCTCACAGCAGGAACACCACAGGAGGCTCCAGAACCCTTCTTGTTCTCTGGGGATCACGCTAGGATTTCCTGTGCTATGGGTCTCCCTCTGAGTAGTGGATGTTTGCTCTTTCCAGTGGAGAGAGAAGCAGCAGGAGGAGAGTTACTCTGCAAGCACATGCACTGTTCTGGCTGTTCATCCCAGGGAGGTGGCAGTGGGTCTGAGCGCTTGGTCACAGTTATTAGGTGAAAATTTATCATCAGTTAAAGCCACCTTTCAGCATTATGCAAATGCAGCAGCCCCAAACCACCTGTCCTTTTTATCTTTACAATTCCACAAGGAAGCACGAAACATCATCTGCTGCTTGAAGAGAAGCCAAGTAGAATATTTTAAGACTAAGAAAACGTTTCAGAGACCAACCCAGGAGGAAGGTAAGCTCCCCGTCTGTAATCAATTACAATCGGGGAATGCCTCAGCTTCAGACCACATTAGTCTTATCAAGCGTGCTGCAATTAAAACACAGGAAGGCTAAATTAGAGAGAGTGAAGTCAATGAGGAATGAATTAGCAAAAAACAGCAAGTTGTAAAGCAGGAGGTTTCTCAGTTGTTACATCCTCCGTGTTTCTGCAAGTCAGCAGCACTTCTCCCTGAAAACCTGCACAGAAACCAAAGCAGCAGCAAGAACTGCTACTTCACTGGTAATAGTTGGTTTCCAGTCTCCACCAGTGCTAACTTATCTTTGTCTTTAACCTTTACTGCCTTGTCTCTAGAGCTGCTTAATTTTAACGATTCTTCCTCACCCACGCCCTTGCTCTGGTCCCAACATGGTCACCACACACACCAGGTGTTTTATGGCCACCCCCGAGCTGCAGTTTCACCTCCCAGTGCACCTCCTGTGACACCAGTGCCTGCCTCGTTCAGCTCCTGTTTCCCCCTTCTCTCCCAGTCCATCACCTGGACGTGGCTGCAACCACAGGCTGCCCCGTCCCGCCTGCACCCCCTTGGGAGTCACATCCACTGAAACCAAAGGGTGGCTGGGCACCCTTACCTTCCCACCTTCAGGAGATTTACTCACAGCTCCTTTATGCCCGGTCATTCTTACACCAACTTTTAAGTTTCAGACAACTCTTTTAGCTCATGCTTATTCTTGAAACCTACACAGAGAGAAACTGTATCTCTTCTCTGTCTTCATTTTACCAAGTTAAACAACCCATGTCTTCCCCCTACCAAAACAGGCTGTTCATTTACCCTATGAAAACTGGATATTTCCCAGAAGTGCAATAGCTGCCCTTGTCCCTATTTACCCCAAATTTACTTCTTGTGAACCAGAAAAAAGGCCTCTGCTTCATGCAGAGGCAATTCCCTCTCTCTACAAGAAGTTCTTTCCTCTAGTCTTTCCAGAGCTGCATTTGTCTTTTTTTCACAGTAACAGTCTGGCAGCCTGAATTATCCTGTGATTCATTTGTACCTACCTAAGCACTTTCCTCCTCTGCCACTGCCAAATGATGTTATCCCAGCTTAGAGTCAAAATGTGTGTTATTGCCCCAAACAGTAGGACCTTCCATTCATACTCTTAGGTTTCATGCCACTCAGTTTACTCCTGTTCTCAAGGTGCTCATGGTCTTCCTGGATGGTATTTTGATCCTCCCTTGTACTGACCACACCTGGTTTTGTCTCGTCACAAATTCCACTTGCACACCATTGCTTTCTGTGCCAAAAATCATTAAAGCAAACACTAAACATGACTTCCTGTGGAGGAACTCCCAGCTGTCCATTCAGTGCTGCTTTTTGTGTTCTCTTTTAGAGAGACTATTCACATACAGGTGTTGCACCAAACTGTGGCTTCTGAAGCTTAATAATATCTCACACAGCACAGTATCACATGCTTAACTTAACTTCTGACAGACTGGGCTACCACACTTCCTCTG